CTGCATCAACGTCCGGCGAAGCTCAGGAATCCGATCGAGTTCAATGATCGTATCGGCTTAGACGGCTTCTTTTGGACGGGAAAGGGACAGTTTCAATGCTATGTCATACATGTGTATGATGAAGCCTCAGGTTTTCATCTTGCAAAACGTCTGGACGGCCGAAACATGGATCATGTTATTCCTGCCTTGAATGATTTGTGGATGATATGGGCCGGTTCACCACGGGAAATTTATCTTCACCCTGCTGGGGAATTTAGATCGTTTGGTTGAACCACCTACAATCCATGAACACCAATGTTTTCATGACAGTAGAAGCATGGCAGCGGGGAAGAATAGAGCGACATGGAGACATCTTGAAGAACATGCTACATAGAATGGATCATGACCAGACCTTTTCCTCTTTGTCTCAGTTTGATGAAGCCCTGAAGCTTTGCTGTCAGGCCAAGAATCAACTTTCAAAACAAAGTGGATATTCCCCGGAACAGTTGGTGCTTGGAAAATCAACAAAGTTGCCTGCGTCCCTTGCGTCCGATGATGATGCGGCCGCACACTCCCTAGCAGTCGGCAGTGACTTGGAAAGCCAGCGTTTCAAAGAGATGTTGGAACGAAGAACCCAAGCACGTCAGGCATTCATCCAAGCTGAAAATTCAGATGCCATCCGCCGAGCTCTGCTGAGGAGGTCATGCCCTGTAAGAGGACCCTACTCACCAGGTCAACTTGTTTTGTATTGGTCAAAACGTCCAAAACCCAACAGAGCAGAAGCCGGACGATGGTGCGGTCCAGCACGTGTTGTGTTGCAGGAAGGGACATCTGTCGTATGGGTCTCTCATGCTGACCGGCTGTTAAGATGCGCACCGGAGAACCTGCGACCAGCATCAATCCGGGAGTGGTCTCAAAGTGCAAACCTGAATAACCTACTTTCCCTGAATAATAATCCCCAAGATAATCCACCACCCAATAATGCATTGCCTGACAATCCAGATACCGACTATGAGCCAAGCCTTGCACCTGATCCCCTTCCAGTGACACCTCCAATCAGTGAACAACCAGAACAGGAAGCTTCACCACCAAATTCACAACCATCTGAACCAGATGAGAGCAACACTGAAACCATGGAAACAGACCAAGAAGAAATCCGAGAAGGCTCCGGAGACAATCCTGGAGAGGATGCCTTGCTCCTGCAAATGACCCGACTGCCAGAGATAGCCTTGGTTGCGAGCGAAGTGGAGCCGCCAAGGGATGATCCACTGTTCTCCTTCGACACTCTCCAAGGTGAGAGTGGGCAGTCGCAGGTGTGTCTTGCTGAGGATGGATTGCCTTACTTTGAGGAACCCTTGGAATGCCAGAGTGAAGAATGCTATGTCTTAGAAATCCCATTGAAATCTTCTGACATGACAGCTTGGTACAATGAGGTTAATCCAGAACAGATGTGTCATGTAGCTGCTGCAAGCCAAAGAGCCCGTGCTGAAGTCCAAGTCAAAACACTCACCCCAGAAGAACGAAAGCTCTTTGAAGTCGCTAAGGATAACGAGCTATCATGTTGGATTTCCACGAATTCCTTAAAACCGAACTTGAGACAAAAACTAAATCCTGACCAAATTTTAAGAAGTAGATGGGTTTTAACATGGAAGGAAGTAGAAGCCGAAGGAGGAAAACCTGCTCAACGCCGAGCTAAAGCTAGGCTGGTGGTTCTGGGGTACATGGACCCCCAAATTACCAATGTGGTTCGTGATAGTCCGACCTTATCTAGAGAAGGAAGACACACCATACTGCAATGCCTGGCTGCGTATCAATGGGAACTGACAAGTTTTGATATCAAGACCGCCTTCTTGAGGGGAAAAGCAGACGAATCTAATCCTCTAGCAATGGAGCCACCTAAAGAACTGAGACAAAAGCTGAATCTCTCTGACCAACAGGTATGTGCCCTAGTTGGCAACGCGTATGGACGTGTTGACGCGCCACTTCTCTTTTACAAGGAACTGTCCCGACATTTACACGATCTGCAGTTCAAAACCCATCCACTTGAGCCTTGCGTTTTCATTCTCGAATCTGGTGTTGGCGAGAATCGGATTTTGCACGGCATCTTAGGAACCCATGTGGATGATGGTATTGGAGGGGGAGATGCCTTTTTCCATAAACAACTCAAAGAACTGGAAAAGAGACTCCCTTTTGGAAGTTTGAAACATGGAACTATGATCTTCACGGGTATTCAGTTGGAACAATTGCCAGATCATAGTATCACTGCATCCCAAAAAGAATATATTCATAGAATACTTCCAATCGATATCGGGAAGGCGCGAAGAGAGAACCCAGAAAGCCCAGCAACTGAGCATGAAAAGTCGAAATTAAGGGGGCTTGTGGGTAGCTTGCAATATGCTGTATCTCACACGAGGCCAGACCTAGCATCACGTCTTGGAGAAGTCCAAACACAAATGGCGGATCCGAAAGTTTCCACTTTAATGCTGTGTAACAAGGTCTTACGTGAGGGTCAGCAGTTCTCAGAAGTGAAGGTTTGCTTTCGTCACATGGAACCCAACAAGATCACTCATGTCTCATTTGGAGATGCCTCATTTGCAAGTCCCAAACAACTGTGTTCATTTCAAGGTACCCTGATTTTCACTACCACCTCTCAACTTAATGATAACATGGAAGCCCCCATATCACCAGTAAGTTGGTCATCCAAGAAAATCTCCAGAGTAGTTCGTTCCACACTTTCAGCAGAAGCATACTCCATGTCGCGAAGCATCGACCGCCTGGGATGGATGCGACTTATGTGGGGGATCATAGCAATTCCGCAGTTTCCGTGGAAAGAGCCACAAAAGGCCTTTTCGCTGCTGCCACGAGCTGTGATCACAACAGACTGCCGTAGCTTATTCGACCTGGTTAGCAGAACGGCTCTGCCTTCATGCGAAGAGTACCGGACGACTTTGGAAGTCCTTCTGATCCGCGAACAATGCCAAGAACACTGCGTGTTCCGATGGATTCCAACCACTGTGATGTTGGCTGACGTTTTAACCAAAGTCATGGACGCCACCCTGTTGCGAACCGCTTTGCATAAAGGAGTTTTCTGCCTGTACGATGAAGCGTCCAGCCTCCGTCACAATGCACACCGCCGAGATGCCATCTCATGGCTGAAGTCAAGGAATAAAGACCAAAATGCTGCTTAATTTTGTTTGTTTGTGTTTCTGTGTTTGGTTTACGGTTCTGTTTTGAACAAACATGTTCATGAGGGAATGTCAAAGCAACAACTGTTTTAGGGGAGTGTGAAATCCACTCGTGAAGCCAACCTTGCTTTGACCTGAGACCTGCAGATGCCTTTCCTGGCTTGCTGAGCACTAGGCTCAAAGGCCAAAGGGAGGGCTGAGGTGTGGGCTCGCCGTGCCGAGACTTTGCGCCATAGCAAAAACCAGTGCTGTTGGGCGATCCGGGATTGCTGGATAAGTTTGACAGGGTCAACATCTTCGAGTATCACAGGGTGATCCTTTTTCTTCATCTTCTTCATTTGGTAGGAACCAAAGTGGACTAGCAGGGCTAGCTTGCAAGTTTGATAGGAAGCTGCCAGTGTGTTTTGGGGCTGCCACCCCATTCACATATATGTATATATATATATATATGTATGTAATATGTATACATATTGCATGCATTTCGAACCCGAAGAAATGCTAAAAGGGCCCATGCTTCTCCCTGCCTCATACTGGTCTTGGCGGTTTCAAATGATTTTAACATGTTGAGGATTTCCTCGTTCCTTTTTAACCTTTTTCTTAGACACATTTGTATTTATCCATCCTGAGGTTCCTAAGACTGGCCCAAACACTAGAATACTTCCCCCTCAGGATTTCAATCTAGTTACATCTCTATCTTGGAAGGCAGTTAGCCACATATTTCTTCCCTTCAACTATCATTTTTGGCTGGTTTTTGTGGCTTTGTCCAAAAACTCCCCAAGTTGAATGGATGGCTCCCTCTGAACGGACGGATTGGTTTTGTTGGGAAAATCTGCACGAAAGCCACGGGAATTGGATGTAGTTTTCAGAGGTTTTCACCATGGTTTTGCGGTCCATTTTTCAAGATCAAGGCATTTTGGAACTGGGATGATCATCCTCAGAATTCTCAAAGAAAATAGGGGAAGTGAGATGATTCTCCCATTGTTCATGTACCCTCCGGTGTAATCAAACCAGGGCTGGAAAATCCCCCCTATTTGATGATTTTCCCCAGCTACAAACCTCCATTGAACGCGGGGATTTTCCAGCCATGTTTGATGACACCGGAGGGCAATCATCATTATATAATCACCAGTAATCATCATTAATCATCAGTATTAACCATCATTAATATTCAGTATTAATCATCATTAATCATCATTAATCATCATTAATCATCATTAATATTAACCATTGTTCATCAGTATTAATCATCATTAATCATCACTGCGAATCACCATGCCAGTACTCACTATTAGTTTAATCATCAATAACCATGGTCATGTCCATAATCATCATTAATCAGGATTCACCACTATTATGGTTAATCATCCTAATTCACCACTATTAATCATTAAATCACTATCAATCACCATTACATAACCATTATTCACCAGCAATCATCATTATTAATCATTATTCCCCACTATAATATAGAACTGCGATAATATTAGAACCTGTCATCATTAATCATTATCACCATTATTTATCATCATTAGCCGTTATATAACAGTTTTATTCACCAGCAACCATGATTATTAATCATGTTTTTCCCACTATTATATAATATAACCACATATATATATACACATACACATCTATATTATACACAAAAAAATGTTATTATCACCATTAATCATCATTAACCACCAAAATTAGAACCACCATTAGACAATCAACTGAACATGGTTAACCATTATTAACATATTCTAAAAAATATTAACCATTATCACCATTAACCATTGTTAACCATTAATCATTATAAACCATTGTGGCCATTAGAACATCACCAACTGGCCTCAGGTGCGCCGTCGGTGGACCCGCTGGAGCATCGTCCTGAAGGCGCAGCAGCTCCTGATCTAGGTGCGGTTGGGGGAGCCATGGGATTTGAAGCAATGGATGGGGGTGAAAACCAGAGAAACATGGTGATTTTATAGGATTTTAACCAAGACAAATGGTGATTTAATGCAATTTAACCAAGAAAAATCGGGATTTCAAGTTTTCAAGCAACAAGAACATGGGATTTCAGCATGTTTTTTTTCTCGAATGTTAATCGACGAACATGGCATTTTTTTCTGATAAACATTCACCATTGTGAGTAGAGCCAACAAGGTGGGGATGCCAACAAGACCTGGCTGAGGCAACAAAATACTGGAATTTGACCGACCAGCACGGGTATGGAGGTACTCACGGATTTACCATGATTTACCTATGATAGCCTTTTCCCACTGGCCAGTATTGATCATGGGGATGAGGAAATTAATTCTCAGGCACCAGTCATGGGAGCAACATCGATTCCATTTTTTTGCGCATGTGGTGACGATGCCAACATATGCCAGCCAGAAGCTGATCTACGGGAAGGAACAATTCTGGCGGTGAATGCATCCTGCCATCTACTCGTACTGGTCTCTGTTTCTGCTGCCCTATATTTCATGTCAGCCATCCACGTGGACATGAAAATTTATTGATATCTAGTTGGGCCGAAAAGGATTCATACTAAATTAGGTCGAAACAAAATGAGAAAGCCAACTTGCTCAGAAGGCTTGGCAACATTTATAGTAAGCGCATATAGTTGTAGAATCGTATGTAAGCAATTCTTATGAATGTGCATGTATAGTTATGTACGATCCTAGATGGTATTTGACTGTTTTTGAGAGTTGCAATGATGTATAACCCTTTAAGATCACTTTGATGTTGGCCAACACAATCTGGCTTCCATCTCTGCCAAGCTTAGTGAATCCCAAGTCATTGACTAACGTCTATTTTAGAATACGGGCAGGATGTGAAGACAGCTGTCTCCATATAGGAAATCGAGGGCCAAGCGCATGGGCCCTTAAAGCAACCTTAATTTTCAACAAGACCCATGTATCGTAATTCAATGGACATTTGCCGGACTGCTGGACTACAGATTTCGGAGTTTTGCTTCTCAGATCCTCTCGGCCAGGCCCCAAATTGTACAGTATTTGGCCTTTTTTTGAAACCTGCATGGCTTGGTCCTACAAACAGTCAAATTTGGGACCATTGGCAACTCTGTTTTGAGACGTTGCAATGTAGAAACGCTACGTTACCCTACAGCAGTCAAACTTTGCAAGGGAAAACAATTTCTTACTGGGAACATCATCTACGTACAGATAGGTTTTAGGAGATGAACCCAACAAATAAACTTTAATTTAGATCATTCTCCATTTTACTTTCACCTTCAAGATACTTATTGGTAGACAATAACGATTGTCTATGAAGAAAACTCAGGATTAGTTTCCTTGCATTTTTCCCCTTACTGCCATTTTCTGATTTGGCACCTATCCACCATTGTCCACCAGGGCCGCGAGCCTCCGAGAGCCCGCCCTCACCAGGTTGACGGGAAAATGAACATGGATTTCCTTCATATATCGATGATATTTTCGCCATTTTTCGCCAACATTCTTGGAATATAGTCTGCGGAGTTTGTCGACAAACATGGGGGTATCAAACAACAACAAGACTTGGTAGATACGCTCGGGCAAGCAAACAAAGCACACAAATTCTCCAAGGAAACCCTATTGGCGCGTTGCTTTTTAATAGAAGTTTCAGGGTTAGCGACCTGTTGCTCAGTGGGTAAATGCACAACCCTTCACAGTCACAGTCTGAATTCTTGACCTGTGATGCTGACCCCAGATTAGCACACGTTTTTTTGACAGTGGCCTCTTCATTTTCAAGACTTGACTGTTGCCCTTGAAGGGAACACACCCGTTTCCACATTTCCTGGCTGTGAGTCCTCATCATCTTTATCCATTTGCTCATGGTGTACCTTTCCCGACATTTAAAGTGACATCACTGAGTGCTTGAAGAAAAACATGTAGCCGGCAATTTGACATAGCTATGGACATCTTCCTAAAGGATCTATAGGTAAATCAGCCAAATGGACCGTGAATGGGTCCTTTCGGATGGCCCAGAAGGCTCCAGTTCTGGGCTGAAGCACCGGAAAAACGCTGTTGCAGGCGGGAAGATTATTGGAGATGCCCCCATGAAAGACAGGGTGTGGTTTCAAAAAAATTACTTTACTTCGCGTGATCCCCACCATGACATTTATCGATTTGTTACTGGCAAATCTTCTGGCATTCTATCTGACAGATCTTCTGGCATTCAATCTGGCATATCTTCTGGCATTCTACCTGGCATATCTTCTGCCATATGTTCTGACATATTATCTGGCATTCTATCTGGCATATCTTCTGGCATATCTTCTGACATCCTATCTGGCAATCATCTGGCAAATCTTCTGGCATTCCATCTGGCATTCTATCTGGCATTCTATCTGGCATATCTTCTAACATTCTATCTGGCATATCCTCTGGCACTCTATCTGGCATATCTTATATTCTGGCATCTGGCATTCCTGACATTCTATCTGGCATATCTTCTGCCATATGTTCTGACATATTATCTGGCATTCTATCTGGCATATCTTCTGGCATTCCATCTGGCATTCTATCTGGCATTCTATCTGGCATATCTTCTGACATCCTATCTGGCAATCATCTGGCAAATCTTCTGGCATTCCATCTGGCATTCTATCTGGCATTCTATCTGGCATATCTTCTAACATTCTATCTGGCATATCCTCTGGCACTCTATCTGGCATATCTTATGGCATTTTTTCTGGCATACCTTCTATTCTATCTGGCATATCTTCTGGTTCTGACATATTATCTGGCATTCTATCTGGCATATCTTCTGGCATTCCATCTGGCATTCTATCTGGCATTCTATCTGGCATATCTTCTGGCAGTCTATCTCGCCGTTGAGGTCCAGCGGTGCACACTGAGCTGGGCAGGTCCCAGGTTGAGGTCCAGCAGTGCAGGTCCGGCAGGGAACACTTGGCGTGGATACTCGCGGTTGAGGTCCGGCAGGGAACACTGGGCGTGGATGGTCGTGGTTGAGGTCCGGCAGCGAACACTGTGGATCGCGAGTCGCAGTTGAGCAGGAGGACGAGGAGGACAACGAGACGAGGAGGACAACGAGAGGAGGAGGACAACGAGAGGAGGAGGACGAGGAGGAGGCAGGAGGCAGGAGGCGGCAGGAGGAGGAGGCAACTGACATAAAATCTAACAACCCTCACCTGGCAGGTGGGGAAAAACTGTTTGAACCACAAAAGACGGTGGTTGTGACTATGAAATGTAAGTATATATATATAATATGTGTTTAAACCACTCGAAATGGAGGTTTATCCAATTGAAATGGAAGTTTAAACTAATATTACTGAAACTGAGATAAATCCCTTAAGGATTTGTTTGTTCAAAATGGACACCCAATTCATGGCCATTAAGAGATGGGGAAACCATTCCACCATTCTGGAACGCGACTCAAGTAGCAGAATTGCTTTCAGCAAAAGGTGAGTTGACCAACACAAAAGGAATGCAGGCAAATGGCCGGTGAAAAATAGACGTATACTATATGTATGTGTATATATATATGTATATATGTAGTTATAGATAAACCAACTGGTGAAGGGCAGGCTGACGTGGAATCATGGGATATGATTCGATGAATAACACACAAAGGTTGATCTTTTGCAATTTTGTGAAGATCTTCACCCAGCCGCAAATGAACTTTATTGCAGGAGCAAACGCGGGGATTGAACCACTCCGAAAAGGGTTTTGGGTTTTAATCAACTTTACCGATAATAGAAGGGGATGTATACATACATACATACATACATCACATTACATTACATTACATTACATTACATTACATTACATACATAGATACATACATAGATACATAGATAATATTTTTGATTCAACAATGATCTAGACAAGGTGGCGGCCTCACTTAAAAGATGATTTATAAACACCAGCCTGACACCTGGCTCTCTAAGATTTTGGTCCAAAATTTGGCGCTGCCAGCGCTGAAAAATCATGAATGAATATACCCACAATGTTTCTTGAGCCGGTTCCCCAAAATCTCTGGGCCTTTTGGAAAACGTCAAATCTTGGAACATCTTTGTTGCCGGCTCAGGCAACACAAGCTCGCCGCGGCATGGTGGAGGCGGGTGGTGTTGGTGTCGTGGAAGTCTCAAAATGGAGGAATACCACATTTACCCCAATAATTTGATGGTTCATCCTGAACGTATACCAAAATCTGTGGTCCCATAGGGCTTAAATTTTGAACCATCTCCGTTGTATGGCAATTTTTTCCAGGTAAAATGGTGGTCATCCATGGGATTTTCTTGGGCCCAGAAATATGGTCATGTTTGGAAGCAAGCCATGTACAGTCAACATCCATGACGAGCTATGGTTATGTTAGCGGGATGTATATGAGGCAGAGTAAATATGTGATATGTGAAATCGATCATGCACTTGCTTCTTTGTACAATGGTTTGCAGGCAACACATGCAAGCCTCCATAAACTCAAAATAGCTTGCCTCAATGATCCACATCTCTGGTTGACTGTGTCTTGCCTGGATTTCCAGCGCATCTTTTCTTTCCAGACGTCGGTGGGTGTGGCTTGATGTGTTCGACCCTTCTGCAATCTGATGGTTTATCACAGCCCAGCAAATGCGGAGCATTTACTATCCCCCCAGTTTGATTCAACACTTCACACTGACATTCAAAAGGATTGAAGAATCCGTTTTTGAACCTTTTTGGGAACTCTTAATCCATATGTTTTTTTGGAAAATTCGATCCCTTTTGAACACCTTTTTGTTGCCAATTTAGCGAAGAAATCCACCGCGGAAAACGGGTGGATTGATGCGAAGACAACCCGTTGAATGGACACCGTTTATCTTATCCCACATGTATTATGTATTTAATATAATTATATGATATATATATATGTATATACTTATATCTACCTAAATCTATCTACTGTAATCAAATCTAATCGAATCGAATTGAATCAAATCTGATCTGATCTAATCTGAGTATAGGTTTGTATAGGTCTACATGTATATCAGTATGTCTGAATATGCATTTATACATATACATATATATATAGAATCCTATAGATAATCATACATATATATATATACACATGTATATATATATATACATATACATATATATATATGTTATTATTTGTGGTGAGGATAACGTGATGGAATCTGCTTGGACCATGACTTACCCCCATAGGCGCAGGGCCGGCACATCTGGATGGTGAGAGCACGGATGAGGCCGCTGGGAATGGCAGATTCTTCAGTAGATGGTTTCACAGACGTAACTTATGAGATGAATAAGCATGTTAGTGGGTTCACACTTCACATTTTCATCCAAACCACTGGGATGACTACATAATCCGAATGCCTTTTATGTAGATTGTTTGTCATGGGAATGACATACAAGTACTAGAATGCTTGCACTTTGAGGACTGCTGAGTTGTTGATGATTCGGATATCACATTCTGCGCAAAGTATACGACCTGTTTCTATAGATATATTTTGAATGAAGTCGTCCCTAGCATACAGAGTCCATTCGTATGAAGCGCTGCGCAAACTGGCCTCTCTCAACAATTGCCTGGGCCCTGCACTGGTTGTGGATGGTGATGCTCTTTACCGTGTGACCATGTTCGTCAGAACCAGGTATGGTTTACTACCATCAAACCTCTTTCTGGAAGCATGGAAGTACCATTTCTATCCATTCCTATACATTTATTATATGGTTTACTACCATCAAATACCATTTCTTCTGTTTGTCGATCAATTCATCCCTCCCGCCTTCGCCTTCGCCAGGATAGATCTACCTCCCAGAAGGAGGAGCAATCTGCGGAACGTGTGTAACGCGTGGCTTCGGGGCTTTGTTCAAGCCTTTTGTACTGGAATTGTTGAAATACATCCCAATGATCCAATGTACTGGGCATCCTGGATTTTCTGGTGACATTTGTGACATTTGAGCAACCATTTTACTGTGCAAATAATTGTACTGTACTTGTTTGTTTTTAGTCAGTCATAGTAGTGGCATAGGAATGGGATAGGCTTCTCGAATTGTCAACCGGAGATGAGAACAATTGGAAAATTTGTCGGAAGAAACGCGGCATGTATATATATATATAGAAAGATAGATAGATAGATAGATAGATACCTACCTACCTACCTACCTACATCCATGCATGCATGCATGCATGCATGCATGCATGCATGCATACATACATACATACACACACACATATATATATGATGTTTATATCAAAATGTATCAGCATGATTTTGGATGGTGTAGCTGTATAGTTTTGGCCCAACATGATTGGTACCAGATCGAAGCGGCCAAATGTTTTTGTTCCACATTTTTTTGGAACTTGTTTTAAACTGATCATCTGTGCATTTTTTTTTAAAACCTTTTCACCATTGTTTTCACCATCATGCTTGCTACATGTGATTATAGAAAATCCCAAAAAGGCTCGGAAGAGGCTAGATTCAATAGTTGTTTGTTTACTATAGATTTACTATAGATAGAACAACTATAGATTTACCACTATTTTAATAGCTTATAGATTTTTTCAGGGAGTTGTGTAGGGTCAGTTCCAAGCGGGGCATCTTCAGCCGCGTTCTCAACTAGGAGCCTGAGCAAAATTTGGAGACCTGAGGAAGCGCCTGTAGTCTTACCACAAGGAAACAATAGTTCAAAACCATAGAGATTCATAGACTCCTAGACTTGCATGATGGGAACAACATGGAACAACTACAATTGTTCAAATCCATGGTTTCCGATTAAGATATTCCTTTAAACAATCCATTGATATACAGCACCAACTCCGCCAATGGCTGTAGCGCGTTCACTCGCCCAGCTTTGGCCGAAATGCCTAAAGTTTGGCACGTCATGCGCAGTTTCCCACGATTCGTTTGCGAGTGACCAAGAATGATGCCCCGCAGAAAGTTCTGTTAACGGTGGTAGAAGCAATGCCGGAGCATCATAGGCTGTCTGGATCACAATGGTTGCACCTGCGATCCGCGGGAGTAAGCGGAGACGTCTTGAAGTTGGAGGCCCTGGCCGGCCCCGGAAGTTTGCCTCTTGGTTTCAGGGAATTTCAGGGTTTGATTCCAACGATGCATGCATGGAGGAACCATCATCAATCAATGAATCAATCAATTAATCATGATCATTTTTATGGGGGAGCAAAGGTAGGCACCGTTCTCCAATGTTGAACATCTTTCTTTTCACTAACAGTGGTGGACAGTAATGCTGCAATGCTTGTATTCAGAATGTGATGGGTGAATATAAAGCTAGAAATGAAACACACATATGAGTATGCAAATTCTCTCGAAGAGAAAGTGTGCCCATCAGAAAGCTAGACAAGCAAAACACAATGGCATCAGTATGGAAGCGCCTGCATGTACCAGCATATGATGAAAGTGTAGTCATTTAGGCGACAACGACTTGCTTGCCTCTCCATTGAATGAGATGGAACTTCCCACATTCTAACTTCACCGCTGTTTCATCAAGCTATGCCATACGCAAGTACGATCACGAACTGTAGGTGTGACGTGGGTTACACATGTCCCATTCTGGTAGCTTCAAACATCACCCAAGCAGAAGGTTGTTGAAGACTTCCGAAAGGGGGCGAGGGCCCGCAGCTTGACGTCGCCCAATGTTGCGACGCTCCCTTTCCTGGTGACAAAGATTCGATTCACCAATGGAGAAAAGGTCCTGGGATATCAATGGATATCATTGGGGCTTCATTTGTCAACCTGTCATGTCCCCTAAGCAGAACATGTAATGTGCTGGTAAGGCTTCCTTTTCGCCACTTCATGGCCATTCATGGCCTGGTGAGCGGAGAACAACCTCTTCATGTCATTTGTCTGCATTTGTATGCATTTGTGATTCGTGTCAAACAGAATATGATCCTTGCTGGATATGGAAGGGGAATCTCCCAAGGTTGTGAATATTGCGGTACATGGGTTCTACATGGGTTCTACATGGGTTCTACCTTGTCTTGTACGACAATGTATCAGCTAACACTGCTGGTTTCTTTTTTCTTGAATGATCAGTCAGCACTATTTTGCTGCTTTAGGTTTGCAGACATGTGACCCACGGCACCATCCTTACTTTTGTATACTTTTGTTGCATATACGATCATATACATATAATTTCATGTATATATATATACAGTATACCAAATTTTTCTTTTCACTGATAGATTGTGTGATCACTAAACACAAGTCTTTCGCAAGTGAAGGACTTTTTGGGAACATGTATGTTAACTTGTGGACACTCCGCACTTGCTTATTCATTTGAATAGAGAGGTAACCCTGATTACACACAACAAAGCCCCCATGCGGATTGACTCGCACATAGATTTTCATTTTCCATGTTTCACATTTCAGAATATACGCAAGAAATGGGCAAATAGGATTAAATAGGTTTGTCTGAAAATAGGGAATACTCCCAAAATGGCTATCAACCACTAATCAGACAACCCCAAAGGTCATCTCTAAAGTCTGACGAAGAAGTGATAGACGATACAGACGCGATCAGCTATGTGATACAAATAAATGATCACCCATGATGTACATATGTATTTATATACTGTATATTCAATTTAGCTTGAACAGATTTTAGATCTATATACCTCAATGGATCCTGTATTTACCACGTACTGTGAATATCTATCTATCTCTATCTATATTTGTATACCAATATATATATATATGCATATTATATTATGGGTGTATATATATATAATACGCACATACACTACCCCGCTACACACACGTATACATGTGTACAGAGGTATATATATATACACATGCATGGGCTGTGGTTGAAGATCTTCTGCGGGCTCCTCAAGTGGTCCAAACTGTTTGCCACGGTTCAAGTTGCCGAAATCTTGGCGACGGCTGAATCCTCAGAACAATGCCAGGGTCTTACGAATGCTACACTGGTATACAATCTCTCGCTGGTATATAGAGATAGATAAGATAGGAAGATATAAGATAGACACCAGAAATAAGAGCTTTTGAAAGACCATCAGAACATCAGCAAGGTTGTAAAGCAATTGTTTGCTTCACACTGGTTTGATGGTCTGCCAAATCGGTGTAGAACCATCCTGGTGAGTCTCCAGTTTTGGACACCTGGAGATTTGGCACCATTCAGATTTATCGGGGCTGTTGAGACCACCAAGTAATCTATGTTTCATATTGGGTATGAATTGAGTTTTCAAATACTAACTACCTATTCAATCCTATTCATAGGAGATATCTACCTATTACATCCTATTACTAGGAGATATTCATATATTCATATAGTATTCCTATATAATAATATCTACCTATATATCTACCTATATATATATATTCCTATAATAATCAATCTATTTAACTCGCTTGTTTTTTTAATGTTCTCGCTATCCAGCGATCGTGTTGCCACGGCCTGATGCTGATGCGATGGACGAGAAATCGCCTGAGTGCCTTGCTTCACCGACCAGTTAAATGGGGATTTCTGGCAAAATTACTGGCAAAATGACTGGCAACATGTAATTAAATGCACAAAGATTGGGAAAATGTAGCTTCACCGCTTTGCAGCAACGGGTATATTACTATGTATTACTGGCATTTGGTCAAAAATGCTACTGGATCTATATGGGTCAAAATTTGAGACTTGAACTGATCCATGAAGAGCAGCCACATCAGCCACCAAGTCTTGTGGCTACTCTATGTTTCACCCATACCCATGTTGAATCTACTTGAATTTGTCCTGATTTCGAACAAATCCTGACATGCCATCCTTAAAATCCTTAAAAGTTCGACCTCGCCTCCCAAATTTTATTTGTTGATTGCAAGTATGTTGATGTTTTCAAGTATGTGTTACTTCTGTAGACTGGTGATCGCCTCAAAAGTTATATACACATTTTTTTCAGGGGGTGGCTCAATAGACAGCCAGTGTCACATTCTGGTCATCCTACTCCTACTGCCAACTACTACCGTTGACAATTTGGGGAGAAGTGACGAAGGTGCAAGGGATTTGTCCCATAGATTCCCATGGCGACATTTGTTTGAAAATGGGCTACCTCAAGTTGTACAAATATTACAAATCCTTCCTCAATGGGCATATGTTTTGGACAAATCAAATGGGATTTAGATGGATTTAGTGAATTTGTCAATCCCACATGGATTCAGTAGGATATTCATGACAAATTATATAATACTGGGATAATGGGATGTGAATGGCTATGAGGATTTAAAGGGCTATTTTGATGACGGATCCCCCACATGATCGCTAGTATCATGGGGATATCACCTACTGGGGTTACCTCGTGGGATATATTCGGGTGTGTCAGAACTCATACCCGAATTCATCAGTTGCCCATTAGATTTGTCCAAAACACCCACATTCATGAATTCCACATGTCTTGTCTGAAAACAGGGTGGTACCTCATGGTACCTCATGGTACCTCATGGTACCTCATTCCATCATCCAATGGTTCATCACCTTAGCACGTTCCTTCGGTACGGTTTGGCGTTCGGAACGCGCGATTTAAAAACTCGCGTTCCAGAACGCGCGTTCTGAGTGGATTCTTTTTCCAGTGATCCAAAGTTAATGTATTTCCTGGCCTGGACACTGAAACCTTTTACCCTCCAAATAAGAAAGGATTTTGAGAGTTTTTATGGGCTCAAAATGGTGGATGAAGCCACCAGAAAGTTGATCTTCCCAACTCCGGATCCTTTTTTGGCTGAAGCAAAAAAGGTTCTGGCTTCACCAAGTTTGTGGGGCAAGTTAGGTTTCCTTTTTGGATCCTTTTTTTCTCTGAAAGAAAAACGTTCTGACCTCACAATTTTTATCGTAGTGCTATTTACAGAGGTCCAAGAAGACTTTGAAAAATGGTTGAAAAGCCCTCTGTGACACAGTGGATCCTTTCTGCAAGGAGCAAAAAAGGGATTGGGAGGCTTCCGGAGCCAAAAACCACTATAACCCCCCCTGCGTTCGGAACGTTTGCGTTCTGCGTTTTGACCGTGCTAAGTTCATCACCATTTTCCCCATTGAAATGGCTGAAGGACATGGTATCCCCCATGGTGACACAGCGCCAGAGTCCGAGCGCCGAGGCGCTTCGTCAGTGCCAAGTCCTCCTGGGCTTTGGATGAGCTGGAGCGAAGCACCAGGTGGAGCCCCTGAGTTGACCTCGGGGAATGATTTGTCTCTGTAAAAAACGGGTGGATTTAACTGAAACGTGTGGATATGGGTGGATTTCATTTGATTTAACTGATTTAATAAGTAAACATGGGGACATGGAGGTATCATGGGGAGAGTGATGGCACAATGGATTATTTGATGGGATATTTAATTGCAACAAGATGGAGGTAAACAAATGTTTTGGACAATTGGGGTGCCCCTTTCAACCCTGCGTTTCCACATGAACAACATGACCAATAATTTGGGATGATTGGCTTAGGTTTTCTGCTGGTTGACATCATGATATTCCTATTTTGTTGGTTAAACGTCAAAATACCCAACATACTTTTCATGTGTTTAAACTATTGGCATCATTTGTGTCTATGTACTGACGTATATACGTACAGACGTATCATCCATTTTTTTGACTGACGTGATAGATACACCCATGATATATACGTACGTATATATATATATTTACACATATCATTCATATCATCATATTTAACACCAATTTGTTTAGATTCGTTATTTGCCCAATACCTGTGCGAGTTTCCTCTTGGAAATCAGATGGGCTGACCCATGATTAAGGCCTTCATTTCCGAACACAACATGTTGAAGAAACCAAGCTTGTGTGACTCCTGTGCATATTTACACACATACATAGCACATCGCATATATATATATATGTGTACATATTGGTACCGCACAAGGCGGTGGCGGAAGTTTCAAAGATAGGAAACTCAATATATTGTATATATATATATATATATAGGAGAGGTGAGTTGTTGTGATGCATGGATGGCAGAGCGAACCCGCTGATGGATCGCAAGGTGGTTGAGGCTCTGAGTCTCTCTATCTCTCTATCTCTCCGTGTCTCCTTCTCTTTGTGTCTCTCTCTCTCTCTATCTTTGTATCTGCCTACCTACCTAGCTATCTACCTACCTATCTATCTACCTACCTATCTGTCTGTCTGTCTATCTATCTGTCTGTCTACCTATCTATCTACCTATCTATCTACCTATCTATCTATCTGTCTATCTATCTATCTATCTGTCTGTCTGTCTGTCTACCTATCTATTTAACTATCTGTCTATCTATCTGTCTGTCCTTCTATCTCTCCATCTCTCAATCTGTTATTCTATCAGCCTATCAATCTATCTATCTACCTACCTATGTATCTCTCTATCTCTCCACTTTTCTATCTATCCGTCCATCCATCTATCT